TACATTAAGCATTAAATCAATTTTAATTATACCTTGAGTAAGTAAAGATTTCTGAAAATAAAACCCTATATATATTTGTCAATACATCTGTATGCTATATCAAATTAAGAATGCAGGAAAACTTTGTAAATTACCATGAGACTATTAACATATTATTGGCATGCTCCAGCAATATTGCCTCTGCTGTTTCACAGCATAGGAACTGTGCATCATACGTGCAAGTCTCTGAACCATAGTGGCAGTATAATCAGCATAGGGAACTTATAGTTAACTTGATTTTAAAAACTGAGCGTATAAGAGGCCCTGAGTCCAGATTTACTGCTCCTGAGTGTACTGAAGAGTGGGGAGAAGGAAGGGCCACTGTGCATCTGCAGAGGATATACACTCAGAGTACATAAGCACATAAGAATGGCCATACTGGGTCAGACCAATGGTCCATCTAGCTCAGTATCTTGTCTTCCAACAGTGGCCAGTACCAGATGCTTCAGACGGAATGAACAGAACAGGGAAATTATTGAGTGATCCACCCCCTGTCATCCATTCCCAGCTTTGGGTTGTGTCCCTGACCATACTATCTAATAGCCATTGATCTCCCAGTTCTTGTGTTATATGAATGGGTAAATAACACTTCCTAATTTACTTTCTCCATACCATTATGATTTTAGACTTCTATCATATCCTCCCTTACTTGTCTGTTTTCTAAGATGAACAGTCCCACGCTTTTTAATCTCTTTCCGGCTCAAGCTGTGGGAAGCTGCCGGACCTTTTTCTCTCCACAGTGAAAGACTCCGCTAGTGGGGAAAGGCTCTGGCTGGGAGAGGCAGTGGGGAAACACTAGAGCCTTTCCCAACTGCCTCCTCCCACCAGAGTCTTTCACAGTGGCATGTAGCTTCACACCACTGTGTAGCTACACACCACAGTGTGTGGATGCAGCCTGCTTTTACTGAGGAGTGTAGCTACACATACCCTACATGCCGCTACCAGTACTGGTCAGTAACTTTTCTTTCTCCTTCATGAATTGCCTCTGCATTTCAAGACTGGAGAAGAATAGCAAGCAGGAACATAATAAAAATGGGACAAGTGAAAGTTAAATAAAAATGAAAGCACTGCCCTGCCAAACCCAGACCCAATATCTCATGGCTATTGCTTAATAAATGTACTAGCTGAACTGCAAGTTTACATGGAAGATTTATATGCAAGATAAGAATTAATGGTTTGAATTTTTCATTAAAAATGAAGAATAAAAATAAAGAATTTAATTAAGAATGGTTCTTTGCTTCAATTTTGTTGTAAGAATTCACTAATCATTAAAAATCTATAGTAAAATTTGCACTCTAACTAAATTTCTATTTCAGCTGAATATACAGGTATCATAAAAATATTCTAAGACCGATCATGCTCTCTAGAACCAATACTGACCTGCTCCCATTTACGAGCAGTTCTGTTCCTTTGCTCCATGAGAATTTTGCTTTAGGAGCAGCTTTAGGCTTGCATTCAATTATTACACGGCCTCCTTTAGCAGCCAAGAACTTCTTCTTCATTGGGTTCAGTTCAAAATTAGGAGGTGAAGCTGAAGAGAAAAAGCAACATATGGACACTGTTGTCATATCTTTTGACAAGGTATGTAATACTGTTTGTTTTAGGACATTAAAGATAATCTGGGTGTATTGAAGCATACATATTTATAATTAAGGAAGGGGATAAGAATGATCCGGGCAATTGCAGACCTGTTAGTCTGACCTCAGTAGTGTGCAAGACTTTAGAACAAGTTGTGAAGGAAAGAATAATTAAATTCATGAGGGTAAATGGTAAAGGGGATGTAATGCAACATGGGTTTACCAAAGGTAAGATCATGCCAGACTAATTTGATTTCCTTCTTTGAGAAAATAACTGATTTTTTAATATTTGGACTTCAGGAAAGCATTTGACATGGTACCACATGGGAAATTATCAGTTAAATTAGGGAAGACCTGGATCAGTACAAGGATTACAAGGTAGACTAGGAACTGGCAAAAGGGGAGAAGGCAACAGGTTGTGCTGAAGAGTGAATTATCAAACTGGAAGGAGGTTACTAGTGGAGTTCCTCAAAATGTAAGAGTGGGCTAATAAAATTTGCTGATGATACAAAGGTGGGAGGCATCATCAACACAGAGGAGGATCAGAATATTATACAGGAAGATCTGGATGACCTTGAATACTGGCATGACAGAAATGGGATGAAATTCAATAATACATAGTGCAAGGTCATGCACTTAGGGTCTAATAATAAGAATTTTTACTACAAACTTGAGGCTTATCTGTTGGAAGTGACAGAGGAGGAGACACACTTGGGTATAGTGGGTCAATAACAGGATGATTATAAGCCACCAGTGTGATGTGGCTGTGAAAAAGGCAAATGCAATCCTAGGATGTATTATGTGAGGCATTTCTAGTAGAGCTAGAGAACTATCAAGGCCTTTGTACAAGGCAATGGTAAGACTTCATTTGGAATACTGTGTACAATTCTGGTCACCCATGTTCAAGAAAGATTAATTTAAAGTGGCACAGGTTCAGAACTGGAATCTGTGCAGAGAAGAGACACTAGGATGATCGGGGAATGGGGGACCTATCTTATGAGAGGAGACTAGAAGAGCTTGGCTTGTTTTGTCTAGCAAGAAGGCTGAGAGGGGATATGATTGCTCTCTATAAATACATTAGGGGTAAAAATACTCGGGAGTGTGAAGAACTATTTAAGCTAAAGGGCAATGTTGGCATAAAAACAAATGGAGATAAACTGGTCACGAACAATTTCAGGCTGGAAATTAGAAGAAGGTTTCTAACCATCAGAGGGACTAGGGGAATGGATGAAATTCTGGAACAGCCTCCCAATAGGAATTGTGGAGGGCAAGCAACCTAATTAGCTTTAAGAGGGAACCTGACAAATTTATGAGTGAGATTGTATGATGGGGTACCTAATGGAAGATGAAGTTCAGCTAGGAAGGAGCAGTTTGGGCCTGTATACTGGGATGAAGCTGAGAACAGGAAAAAGCTGAGGGGGAAGCAGTCTGCAGTCACTCCCTTTGAGAAGGGGATTTGTTTAGGGCTAGAGAGTCTAGCAAGAAGTCAAAGAGAGGAAGTAGTCTACAGTTACTCCCTGGAAGGAGGGAATGTTGGCTATTAAACCCAGGGGTGGGGTCAGAATATAGAGAAGGGAAGTAGACCAGGGAAATAGCAACAGGATCTGGGAGCAAGCATACTGTAGTTGCTGGACATAGGGTCCCTGGGCTTGAACCCAGACTCATGGGAAGGCCCGGGTTCCCGTATCAGCCACTGAGAAAGTGGCCTTGGTCTGGAAGGCTGTCTGGAATGGCATGTGGATGGCTGATCTAGTGGGACTTTGATACCTCAAAAGGGGAGGACCATACAGTGACATGGCCAGAGGGCTGTCATGAAGAAGGAGCACTGTGAATCCTAGATAGTGAGGGGGGGATATGGTGTGAGCAAACACGGAAAGGGAGGTGTCAGAAGATAATCCCCAGATGTGGCCACAATGAGGTGTCCCAATGGTGAGCGAACTGTTATAGAGGGTAGGGCTCACTTCAGGTTTCTGACATGTTCCTAAGAACTCAGGCCATCAGCAGGGGTCAGGAAGGGATTTCCCTCTCCCTCAATTCTGGGTTTGTTTTGTTTTTTTTAACCTCCTTCCTCTAAAGCATCAGGGATGGCCATGGCTGGAGATGGGACACTGGATGGGCAGCTCCAGGGCTCTGAGGGCACCAAGCATTCTCTCTCAGGTGCCTGGCTGGCTGGGTCATGCTCACAACTTCAGAGTCTAACTGATCAACATATGTGGGGTCAGGAAGGAATTTCCCCCAGGTCAGATTTTGAGGGATTTTTGCTTTCTTCTGCGAGTGTGTGCAGGTCACTAGCAGGATTATCTGGTTATATCTCACTTAATCATTCCCCTGCCACTGCAGGGACCTCAGGCACTGGTGTACCTTGGTCCCTCCTCTTATCTGCCTGTGACAGATAACAGTCTAGTCTTCTGTGGGCTGTAACACTTTGATCTAGTTTAAGTGTTGGGTTTAGTGTGCGGGTGCTGAGTGATGTCATGGCCTGTGATATACAGGAGGTCAGCCTAGATGATCTGGTTGTTCCTTCTGCCCTTAAACTCAATGACTCTATGAAGAACTAAGGAATTGGGCTCCACAAGTTCCACTTTGCAGGTGAGCATAGATGCAGAAATTTGGCTCTGCAACAGTGGAAGGTCTGACAGATTAGCTACACTAACAACATTTATATATTGTGTCACTCCTGAAATTCTTATCTGTTCATTTCTCAAATTTCATCTGAGCTTGGTCCAGCTGTATTATGGGTCTGCTCTACAGTCAAACTGAAACCAATAGAAAGACTTCCATTGATTTCACCGGGCTTTGGAGCAGACATAAGAGTCTGATAACAGCACTTTTTAAAATTCAGCTTCCGCACAGGTCACAAGAATTTTTTAAATAATTTAATATTTGTTTTCTGTTCTCTGTTGTTTTTAAACAGTCCTAAAGGAAACAGTAGACAGTTCCTCAGCTTTGCAGTTTCTGTTGTTTTCTATTTGGCCACTTGCTCAGTCAAATTCTGCTCTCAGATGTGCACAAGCTGCAGCATGATTTTAGCAAGAGCCACTCAGACATATCTGGGGTCAGACCTTGGCCTGTTGAGTTTTTCTCTATTTGTAACTGATCATAAGACAACACATCTCTGTTTTGTTGACTTCTCTGTCTGTGCGACAACATGGTTTATAATGCCACCAAAAACGTGCACAGCTCAGGGAAATAAGTCTGTTAATTGCAGCTGTACAGGCAAAATGATCAAACATTGGTTTAGGTCACATCTTTTCAATACAGTCATCTCAAAATAAGCAAACAGATATTTAACCCTCTCATTCATCCATGTGTGTTTCTGGGTGATCTGGGTCTGGTGGTGGGTGGCTGGTAATGGGGTGACAGCTAGTAAAGAGATGAGGGGACTTACTGGAAGTGTTGGTTGAGTAGTGAAGGAAGATGCGTTCCTGAGCAATGAACTGAGGAACTCAAGACTGGTGGCAGGAGTGGTGAGGAGCTGGAGGAAGGGAGGGGAACCAAAGGCCTGCGTGGGCTGAGAAGTAACAGGGCAGAACTGGTCGTGCACCATGGGAGTTCTAACTGTGGGAGAGATGTAGGCAGATGAGAAGGTAGAAATTGGGAGGCTGGGAGGTGGAGAAGCAGACATGGGCTGGAGGCAGATGTGAGATGAGAAGATCACAAGCCAACTGGGCTGAGGAAATCCCTGAGAAAGCCACGTAAGCTGGACAGGGCATCAGGCAATATAAATATATCAATGGAGGGGTCATCCACTGTGGTTGAACATGAGACCCCTGGATTTAACGATCTGAGTTTCTACGGCTTGAGTTATTGAAAGCATGAGTTATCTTGGAGGCAGTAACAGGCTGAAACCTCTAAAAGTGGTCTAGCCTCTAGACTGGGGTAAAGAGCATCAGCTCCTGAAAGGCTGTGGGCGGGCAAAAAGGTGGTAGGAGGAGCATCAGCAGTCAATTAGAAGTTGCGTGTTAATTGGCAGAACAGGTTCTGGAGAAAGCAGGGGGTGGCCAATGGAGTAGGTAAGATGAGCAGGGGCAGAAGCCACACCTCAACCAGCTCTGTGTGGTCCACAAGCACTGCAAACCCTTGATATGAGCCCCATCCAAGTTTGCAGCTACAGTGGGAAGTCAACACTAGGAGGTGAAAATCCAGAAGAAATTTCTTACAAAGTAATGACAAAATTAAAGGTGGTAAAATTTGGTTCCTCAGTACCCCCATTTGAGATTTTAAATATTTCCAGTGTTAAAACATCATCTCAGGTATATTCAATAAGAACAGGGCAATACAATTATTAAATTTATTATTACAGAATAAGCAATGTGGTGCCAGGACTCCGTATTTTACATAAAAATCAGTGCTTGTAAATATGGAAATCTGACTACCATTTTCTTCAGATTTGAAAGTGTTTTACAAGTTGAAACAAAAACAGAATATCTCACTGACCCACAACCTTCAGCTCAGCATTTGCGTATATAATTCCATGTTTATTTTCTGCTATACACTGATACATGCCGGCATCCTCGACAGTCAGGCTTTGTATTCTTAATTCACCTCTCCGGAACTATAAAAAACCCAGAACAATAAGAATATCACATTCACTGCACAGTCACTGAGATTTCTATCCTTCCATGCTTCTTTAATTTTCTTATTTTGGACTTAGTGCTTGAGGTGAGTCTTTCACATTCCTTTAAAACACTGAAGACCATTTATTTTTCCCTACTTTACATTCCAGGCCTCATGGAAATATGTTGCAGCCACCATCATTTTGAATGAAAAGATTCCATGCTGGCTCCCTACTTCACTGGAAGGATCATGGCTGAGCAATCGCATACATCAGTGTAAGATGCCTCTATAACAATCCTAGCACTGCAGATCCAGTGTTAAGATGGCTGGAGAACCAGGAACCAAATCTGGTTTTTCCACATGCTTAGCACATGGCACTTCCACTAAGCCAATGCCCCACATCAATGTGCTTTACTTCAACAAATTGCAAGAGAACATCTACAGTATATTGTAGTACCTTGTTCTACAATAATATTAGTATTTGCATTGTTAAGGCTCGCTCTACAACCTATTGAAGACATTGGGATTCTTCTAAAGGACTTCAATGCGGATTGGTGTGGGCCTCTTTGAGTGTCTTGTTTCTACTAACCAATAACATGGTAAATATGATGAAGTAGTTGATACAGCTTGGGAAAAATAAAACTCCAAACAGAAACACAGCAAGACCTTTTGTGAACTACAGTAGAGAAACATTTTAAAAAAAATTAATAAACTATGTTCTTGTGGAAAATAGGCTGAGCAGCTTTAGACTTAGCATAAGAGTCAATTGTAGTATCTAAGAGAGTTGAAAATTAAAGAAATATTACTTTTTTTGCATTCTCTGTACTGTTTTTTATTAATCAAAAATATTTCAATCAGCTTTTCTAAAGGGAATTCTCTCTTTGTGTCAACCAAGGGAAATATTTAATATAAAAAAGAAAACCTGTTTGATTTGGAAAAAAAAAATTTCTCATGGAAATGAGAATATTTTTGTTCTTTTCTATCGGAAATAATATTTTAATTCTAACACACAGTATAATTGTGTGACATATTATTTGAGAACTACATGATGTTTTCTGCAATCCAGTATGTAGATTTTGTCAGTGGCCGTCCAGTTAAAAGGGACAGTCAAGTAATTTTGCTTGTTAAATCACTTGTTTGTAATAACCATAGAAGCTTGAAAATAGGATTGTTTTCTTCTGGTTTAATCCTTTTCCATATGGCAGACACTGATATCGCTGCTCCCCTTTTCCCCTCTCCACCATATTTTCCTAAAGCATGCAGCCAAAATAGCTCTGCCCCATTGTTTTCTTTGTCTGTATACTAGTATCACTGTCATCACAGCTCAGGAAATGCAGCAGTGTGTTAGTTGTATTGTGAACCCTCTTCTTTTTGGCCTGTTCTACAGCAGCAGAGCACACAATACTGTGAGTCCAACATAAACAATGGTAAGGTTTCTGTTTTTTGGGGTTTATTAATTTCATTTTGGGGGGTTTATATTAGTAGCAGTGTTGAGACCTATGTAGATGTCCAAAAATAAGGATTTTTCAGGGCTTTCTCTTTGTATTTACTATAACAATTAATCCCAATGTAATGTTCCTTAGTGCACTTTAACTTAGTACTGTTTCAAATGACACTATGTGAAAGTGCACTAGGGAAACTTTAATGTGCACCAGCAGGATCTACACAGACCAATTAATGTGCAACACACTTGAGTGCACTTTAGAAATCACACCCTTGTAATCCACATTATTGCTCCATGTAGACAAGCCCTTAGGTACAAGTAACCATTTCCAGTATTTCTCCGGTATTCACTGAATAAACACCAATCTCATTTCTTTTTCTATAGGGTGTGCTATATCAGTGTTTATCAGTTAAAACCTAAAATGAGAAGCCCTACCAATGGCTATTAAAACTATTGTTGAGGGTGCTGAAGTGAAAATTAATATATATTTAAGACCCAGAAAATACTCCTCCAAAAAGGATAACAATTGGAAAGCTGATAGAAAATTAGGTCTAAGTTATTTGGCAGTGCTTTTATTTTACACTTCACGTCCACTGAAAACGTGAAATTTGCAATATTCTGTGATATGAAATACATGAAAAAGTTGTATGTAATATAATGAGGACAGCAATCTTATTTTTAAACATTTCCGACATCCCTCCATTGGCTCGGTCTTTTCCACGTATCTTTTGAGATACATTCATGTTTAACGTGGTAAAATGGAAAAAAAAATTGGGGGGGGGGGGTTTTTTTTTTAAAAAAAAAAAAAAATTATTCAATATAAAGGAAAAAAAAAAAAAAAAAAAAAGATATCTGTATCCCAAATGTATGCTACGAAAAAGCAGGTTATCTGAACTGAATATGAAATGTTGTGAGAAGATATATTTAACAACCGAAGAGCAGACTGAGATATAAGTAGGGTATAAAAATATATTTTATCCTTAAGGCAGTCTGAATGATCAAAGGTTTATATCATATAATTCACAAGGCTTCTGTTTAATAATGCATACTTTAAAAATCATTTTCAGTGTCTATATAAACAATTAATACAGCAAAATACATAGAAATATACCAACCGATACTCCATTTTTCAACCACCTGATTGCTGGAGTTGGCTTGCCTGTGGCTACACAAGGCCAGTCTAGGTCACTGCCTATGTCTCTCTCTGTGTCATTGATATGTTCTACCCATTCTGGATATGCTGAAAAACAAAGAAAACAGAATGCCTTATAAATATTAAATATAAATGTAATAATCAATCATTATTTAGTTCTCCTCCTGATTTGCCATTCCTTCCATAATTTCAAAAGGCCAAATCCCCGCTCACAGCAGTTGTAAAAGTGTTTGCATAACTGTCTGTAAGACTCAAGATCCTCACTGGGAAGCTGCTGGTAAAATGCTTTGACATCACCATCCAAAAACACTGCTAGGTACTGAGCTGCTTTCTCATTAGTCCAGTCATTGACAGAGATCATTAGCTCAAGGTCTGCCAAGTATCACAGATTCCAGTCTAATCTGCGTAAATTTCTGCTCAGGCAAAAGTGCTTTTGCCATCTTGAAGCCACTGACTCCGGTTATAATACTCGCTTATAGAAACGAAAGGATTTATTGGGACACTGCATGTACCAACTCCAGAACACACAGACAGGATTGAATTTCCCTGCTAACTCCCTGGCCAGGTCAACATCTAACAACATACAAGATAACAGTTTAACACTAAGATAAGTATATAGCACCATCTACTAGTGTAGGTGCAGTCTAGGCAAAATGATTACTCACCTTTCCTTAACTGTTGTTCTTTGAGATGTGATACACATTTCACTGTAGGTGTGTGCATGCCTCATACACAGCTGTCAGAGATTCTTCTCTCAGTAGTTCCCATCAGGGTAGCGTTAATGCCCCCACATGCCTCACACTACAGCTCACAGGTATAAAGAGCCCCGTTGCCCCCTGCCCCCCAGACTCTGATAGAGAGGGGAAGGAGGGTAGAGAGGGCAAGGCAAGTAACCATTTTTTCTTCTTTGAGTGATTGCACATGTCTATTCCGCTGCAGGTGACTCAAAAGCATTTTGAGCTGGAGGCAGATCCAGAGCCTACTAGAACAGAGATTGTAGGACCATTTGTCCAAATCTGGCATCGTCTCTAGACTGATGAGTGAAGGCATAGCAGGAGATAAAAGTGTGGACAGAAGACCAGGTTGCCACTTTACAAATGTCCAGGATGGGCACCTGGGCCAGAAAGGCCACAAAAGCTGCCTGTGATCTACTTGAGCGAGCCACCACTTTCTACAGAGGTTCTGTATCTGCCAAACAGTAGTGTAGATGAATACAGCCCATAATCCAGGAGGAGATTCTCCAAATGGACATCAGGTGGTCCTTTATTCTGTCTGGATCGCCACAAAAAGCTGTGAGGGTGATCTGGATGGTCTAGTTTGAGGCCCTCCTTTGCCTTCAGAAAGTATCGGGAATAGAGTCCCTTTTCTCGGAAAGGCATGGGAGCTTCCAATATGTCGCCCACAAGAGGAGAGACATTCTCATGAGAGTGGTCACTGAAGAGGGACAGGGAAGGAGGATAGGAAGGAGGGACAGAAGTAAACTGGAGGGCATAACCCAGTTCCACCATGCTTAGAACCCACTGATCCATGGCAATGTGGGACAAAGCACTTAGGAAGTGGGAAAGGCGGTTGGTAAAAATAGGGGACGGTACCCTGGGAGGTTATAGGTTACTCTCGAGCAACAAGTCAAAATGAATGCTTTGAGGAACCGCTGAGACTGTTGTGGGTGGAATGGCTTTCTTTTCGTCACCAGTGTATAAGTCCCCAGTGACTTAAGCATCGCTCTTGAGTCCTTAAGGCTACAAAGCCTTTCATCCATCTTCTCAGAGAAGAGTGAAAGGCCTTTGAACGGGAGGTCCTGAATGGTTTGCTGCACCTCCGGGGCAAACATGACGATTGCACTCAAGATGAATGCCGCATGGAAATGGCGGAAGCCATAACATGAGCCACTGAATCCACCACATCCAGGCTCATCTGCGCAGCTGACCTGGCCACTAATCCTGCTTGGCCTCATTAGGAAGCTTGTCCTTAACTCCAGGATGCTTTCCCACAGGTTAAAATCATACCAACCAAGTAGAACCTGCTAGTTCACGATTCTCAGTTGTTACCCTCATGTGGAATAAATTTTCCCGACAAAAGGATAGCTTCCTTGCTTTCTTCCCCTTCGGGGTTGAAGTCTGATCCTTTTCATTTGCAGCAGACAATACGAGGGAACCTGGAGGCAGGTGATAGTAAAAATGTTCATTACCTTGGGAAGGGACATATAATCTCCTTTCCACACTTTTAGCGGTGAGAGGAAGGGAGGATGGGGTCAGCTATAAGCTTAGGGTGGGCTCTAGGATGGCCTCATTTATAGGGAGAGCTACCCTAGAGGATCCAGCAGAGGTGAAAATGTCCACCAATCTGTGTGACTTTCCTTGCACCTTCTCTGGCTGGCTATCCAGAGCCATAGTCACCCTTTTTTAGCATGTCCTGATGGACTCTGAAGTCATCTCGTGTGGGTGAGGTAGACTCCGCAAGTACTGCCTCATCCAAGGATGAAGAAGAAGAGGCCAGTGGTTGCTGAGGGGGACCCTCGTCCAATTCTTGAACTGGAGTAATCAATTCCCCTTGCACAGTACTGATATCGGCAGAGGGGGAATGGATACTGGTTCTCACGTCCCAATGTCTACTGAATGCTGCAGAGTGTGGAGGAAAGCCACAAAGGCTCCAGAAGGGGACTGGTACAGTGCTGGGACCCAGCTGTTTGCCGGCCATTGATCTGGACCAAGGTGGGTAGACATCCTGCTGGGGTTGCTCTGGTCTGGAGGCATAAGATCCGACCTTAGAATCCAAAAAGGGGAATGAGTCTGCTTCCTCTGGCCATGGGTGAGCTGACTCCAGTGTTATCAGGGAGACCTGTTGCAAATCAGGTGACAGAGGCAACGGCGAGATCACTGCAGGCTTTCCTCTGATGGAATCTGCTGAGACGCTGCAACTGTAGCAGCCACCAGTATTGAATGGTGACTGGTACCAGAACAGGCACTGGAGAATCCAACTTGCCCACTCCTGGTGCCAGACGGGAATCTTGTCCCATAAGTGAAACCAGAACCAACAAGTTCAGTAGTTTGCAAGCTGCCTCAAGCACTTCAGGTGTAGACTAGTACTGTCAAAGTACCAGGAGTTGACCCGTCAGTACTAGGAGTTGTGCCAGTCCTGTGATTGGTCTCAATGGGCCTTTCCTAGGCTTGGCAGTCAGCAATCCTCTTTGCAGGGAAGTTGTGCCAGGGGGAAGGTCTCTTCTTTGAGTGCCCCTCAATATCCTTTGCAGCACCCAGTGCCTGGCCTGTAGTTCTCGAAGGCCCCAGTACCGAGTCCTTTGAGGACTTCTTTGGTACCAATGAGGCTAGTTAGAGTGGACGGAGCACTCTTGACTAACTCATACGTGCTCCGAACAGGAAGGTTCTGATGGAGGGCGAAGCACAGATGCCATGAGTAAATATTTGAGCCTGGCCACCCTGTCCTTTTTTGAACGGGGCCTGAATCCTCTACAAATGTGACATTTGTCACCTATGTGGGCTTCCCCCAGAATTTCAGCTGTGGTGGGAGTCACTGACTGGTATTGGCTTGCCATAGGTGTGACAGCCCTTAAAGCCAGGAGAGTGTGGCATGAGTCCGGTACTGGACCCAGTACCCAAAAAGGCACCGGAGAGCAGTTTACACTAAGAACTAGACTAAACTTATTGTAATTGGTAATTATATACAAAAACACTACTCTAAGCCAAACTAACATGACAGGAACTATATAAACAAAGTGAGGGAAGATTTTTGAAATGCAAAGATCACAGCTCCAATAACTGTCACGGGTAGTAGGAAGGAACTGAGGGGGAGTGTTGGGGGCAGCAGAGCCCTTTATACCTGTGAGCAGTGGCATGAGGCACCAGGAGCTCATGCTGCCCCGACGGGAACTGCTGAAGGAAAAATCTCAGACAACTGTGGACGAAGCACACACACACACCTACAGTGGAATTGACATGTGCAATCACTTAAAAGAAGAATCATTACAATACTGTGCTATTCATTAACATTAGTTCCTAGTTTTAAGCAGCAATACAAAGATATTTTGACTGTATTGATGGTGCTGTGTTTTACATCTCATACTGCTTTATATATTCTTTAAGAAGGAACTGAGAATTTATAAGGAAGGAGCAGAGAGGTTTTTCTTTCTTTTATTTGTAATTACTCTCGTGTGTCTCTTCGCAAAATATTGTTTGCTATAATTATATGGACTGTATCATTATATATGTTTAAATTCAGTTCACTACAAGTGTAGCAGTCCAGTTTACAATTGTTATATCAGGACTAAGGATTATTCCTTTTTTGTCAAAACATATGTTCATGCTTTCATGTGCAGTGTGCACATAAGGTTTTATTTGCATGGAAAAAATCAGACTCTTCTTCTTAGACTGCAAGCATCAGTGCATGTCAGCTATCGCAGAATGTGCAAGAATATAATTCCTATACTAATTACAAGTGATGGCATGAAATGTTTCATGAGGCCAGTCAACTGAAAGTCATTCTGAGTGACAAACTGTGCTGAAATTTTAGCCAAAGGCATGCACAAACTATAATGAAATAATGAACATAAAAAGTATGCAAAGCTAATACTACGGATCTGGCTTAAACCAATTGAAGGAACCCAGGCTTATGGCTGGAAATTTATCTTTAACTCGCCCTCTGGAAAACATTCATTTATAGAAGATCTTGCTGAGTGTACTTGCAGAATCTAGTAGATGCAACAAGGTGGGTTGCTTCAGCCATAAAGAAAATTAACAACGCTTTTCATATAAAATCTCTTTTAAGCATGATAGTCCTTCATTTTGCTAGTTCCATATTGCTTCCTGGAACTGTTGTAAGCTCTTCCTACTGGAAGCATGCCAATTTTTCCACTTCGTCCTTTTTGATATCCTTGTTCTAATGGGCAACTAGGTATATGCAACCCCATCTATATGGGGGCATACATACCCTACAAGATATTTGTAATACATATCCCTATAATTTCCCCACTAAGCCCTCACAAAAACTTAAAATACACATATTTGCAGCACAGATAACTAATCATAGCAAACTTAGAGTCTGAGGGCCAAGTCATAATAATTCCCCTCCACTCTCCTACCTGCCCCTCCAAATTAGGAGATTTTTTATAAAGTTAAAGAAGGTTAATTTTTTAAAAATAGTATGGGCAGGGATATTGGGTCAAATATAGAATCATAGAATATCAGGGTTGAAAGGGACCTCAGGAGGTTATCTAGTCCAATCCCCTGCTCAAAGCAGGACCAATCCCCAAATGACTGCTTTACGGCTCTGACCATAGTCTCCAGAAAGAGAACATTTTAATTTTAAATTTCAGTTTAAGAATATAGCTTTCATTTAACAGAAAAGCTCATGACAATGTAATCTTGATATCAGAAATGTCCCACTAAAACATGCGCTGGCATGTTTTTGATGGACTTCTCTTCGAAAGTTAATTTTCCTTCTGAGACAGTAAATGAATGCACAAAATTATATTAAAATATGGGGAAAAAAGTATAAGCACCTCTTCCCATAGATGCAGAAGTCTCAGAAACATAAGGGCAGATACAAATTTACTATAGGGGAGTTGAATTGTCCTATACCAATTGCAGTAACTGTAATCACAAGGAATGCTGCACATTGCAAGAAATACTATAGTGAAGGTTTTCTTACATGGGTGATTCAGAGGTCATCAAGCATTGGGAATATTGTAAATTAGTAATGCACCAACTAATTTAAGTAAGAAACATTGGTAGTCACAGAATATTTGGAATTATCCCATGAGCACCATAATAACTGTAAACAATTTTTATAGCAGTAACAATGGGAAGTGGATGTGACATCGTGATTGCTGAAGTGAATATAAGATAATACTTGTTACCTCTACTGTGTTCTTATTAGATTGCAGTTATTCCACATACTAACTGATTAGTAGCACCATAAAATAGATATAAGTAAACAATTTGGAGTTGCAGACTTGGAGGGATAGCTCAGGGGTTTGAGCATTGGCCTGCTTAAAACCAGGGTTGAGTTCAATCCTTGAGGCGACCATTTAGGGCTATGGAGCAAAAATCTGTCTGGGGATTGGTCCTGCTTTGAGCAGGGGGTTGGACCTCCTGAGGTCCCTTCCAACCCTGATATTCTATAACAAGGAATGCACTTCAAATGTGCATTATTTATTCTTCCCCAGAAAATATTCCATGGAAACAAAGAAGGCATTTAAGAAACAAACAAAACCCAAATGCACCTACATTTATTCTTGCGCTGTATAAGTGCCAAAATAATAGAAAAGTCACATTAATTATCATTACGTGTAAGAAATAGTGGTGACCCTCTGACAGTGAGAGTCAGGTTATCTCAGGCCCATTCCACTGCTAGCAGTAGGATGCACTTTGTTCCTGAGTGCTAAACATAGAATGATAGACATGTCACAGTTTGGAAGAAGAGAAAGCCAATGGTGCAAAATGACAGGAACAAAAATAAAAACAATTGTTGAATGAAAACAAACACCATTGAGATTTTTTTACAAATACAGTTTTTTGTATTCGAAGTGATTTAATGGAAATGTGCCTCCAATGGGAAAAAAAACCCAAAGGTATTTAAAATCTAGAAAAAGTGAAGTAGAGAAAGCTCAAAAGAATTATTAACATTCATATACATTAGTAGAATATGTCACTGAAGTTAGGATTAAATAGACATTTAAGAGACCTCAGAAATCTTTAGAAAGTGTGTATATAAAAGAGAAATTGTAGGCAGGAAGAAGAGACGGAAAGGGTGAAAAGAGCCAGACAGAATGAGGAAACAAGAAAGTGTGATAAACCTAGTGACCTCTTTTTCCCTTAGCAGTTCTTACATTTGACTGCTCTCAGGGCCGCCCCGGGGGGGGGGGGGGGGGGGAGGGGGGGGAATTTGCACCAGGCCCTGGGCCCCACAGGGGCCCCCATGAGAGTTTTTTGGGGCTCCTGGAGTGGGGTCCTTCACTTGCTTCGGGGCCCCCAGAGCTTCTTCCACTCCGGGTCTTCGGTGGCAATTTCGCGGCGGTGGCTCCCCGCCGCCGAAGACCCCAGGTCCCCATAATCCTCTGGGCGGCCCTGACTGTTCTACAATTAAGCAAATTAGCTTCCATTTTTATGTTATTTTTAAACCCTTGAACATTGCATTCAAGATGTAAGTACAGCTATTACAATGAATTAAATTGAGCAGTTGTTCAATTAATAAATCATTTTTATGGTTGTCTCACAATGCATGAATTTTGGATTTTGTTTTATTAACTCAAACAACAGTGTGTCAAAACGATGCAATTAGATAACATGGATATCAAGTGTGAAAACACAGGTGCTTCCCAACATAAGAATTTTTGAAGAATTAAAATGCTTTATCTACCTTGAACATAAACTGTTGCCTGATGTTTATCTTTTCCTTTATAGTTTTCAGCTTCACATTCATAAACTCCTTCATCTTCAAACTGAATATTTAAGATCTTGAGTACTGCACCAGACATGCTTATCTCAGCAGTTGCTGGCATGGGTTCAAGAGGCTTATTCCATCTAATCTCAGGAACAGGGCTTTGAAAAGACATAATAATACAAGTTAGCACTGTTTAGGAACTGGCTATTAATTTGCATTATGTAGAAATGTATTTGCTGCTGAAATGTTTTTCTGTTAAATATCCTGAACTTTTGCTCCCAATGAGATATGAAAGCCAATATATTATTCTACAACTAAATGAATATACAGTATACTTACTTCCCAAGTGCAAAACATTCCAGTGTCACATTTTGCCCCAGAAGTGCATACGTATCCTTGAACTTAACCTTGATATCAGCTGGATATACTTTAGATCCTAACGTTAAAAGAGATTCACAGACATAGCCAGTCAGTGACAGAAATTAATACAGCAATTTTAACTTCTACAGCTCAAGAAAACATCTTAAAAATCCAAAGAGAAGTTTTCTTTACGATATGTGACACCATGTCCATTATCAATGAAGTCTGACTTAACATCGAACAACTTTAACAATAAGGCAGAACTGTTCTTAAAAAAAAAAAGAATTATCTTTCATTGGATGATTAATAGCTAATATAGTCAAGAGCACAATTCTGTAGTGTAAACACATTTAAACTTATTTTGAAGTGTAACAGTAGATTGTAAAGATGAGGGAGAGAGCACATTCCTATCTTTTGTGGGCAGTCAAAGCCTAGTCAACTTATCTCCATGGCTTCCTTAGAACAAGTGTGGATAGAATCATTTTCATTTTTGTGAACTTTAAGGTCACCCCCTTCTCTTCCGCAGGCACAGAGGTACTTGGAAGTAGCAGAACTATTGTGCTTTGTTGCACAGGGAAATAGGGAATGATGGAATGCCAGGAGTCTATGTGGACACATAAAACCCTATCTACCAGTGAGCTGAGCTCTGTGGAGCATCTGTTGTGCTATCAGATGAAGGTCTCAGTATGGGTGTGGGCCAAGGAACAGCTAGGGACAGGATCAGTTGAGCTGAAACTACCTAGATTCACTGGCTATTACCAGTTAGAGAGCAGAGAAAAAAATCGAACAGCCGCAAGGGTTACTGAAGTTCTGAAAATACAGAGCAACTCTACTGCTGCTCCATGGTCCAAGGAAAGGGGTGGATTCCTTCCCTCTTCCAGACCAGCCTCAAGTCAGGCTGGCATAAGGTCAATAGTTTGTCTATTAGTGAATAAATGGCACTTATTGATTATTAATTTAATTGTTATCCAATAGTTCTAATGCCAATTAACATGTTTTTCCATGGATAGGAACCACTCACACCTGGAGACATACCTTAAGTATTTATCCTAAGTTCTCTCTAAATGTGGAAATTCTGTGGTGAACATTCTATTAAAATAGTAAAGTAAATAAATATGAAATAGGAATCTAGTGTATTCTTTAAAATTTAAAATATGAAAAATATGTGCCCTCTTATCAAGTGAGCCCAGTTTCGTTAAAACTAAATCTTGCATCAAGCCAATAGTGGGTGAAAGACAAGTGATGGACATTCCAAACTGCAAGCAGGGCAGTATTTACAGTATTGAAAATGCATAACTTTGCTGATGAAATGGCAGTGAAAAATCTAGTAACATGAAGCAAAAGAGAAGGCTCAGGGGATTGGCACAACTATACAAAGCCTTTGATCTCTCGATAACCAAGTACAGACCTTCCCTCCCTCCTGCAGGAAGAGCAGGTCAGTGGCTTTTACAATACCATTCCAGAGTCATCATAGCGGAACGTAGCAGGGCATGGGAGCGTGGGCCAGAAGAGGCTAGGTTTCCCACTCCTTAGGGGATTTCCCAGAAAACATAATACTGCCAGGAGCTGCCTCAACTTTTCCATGGAGTCACGACCTCCCCAACAGGGATCCCAAGGGCTGCCAAAGCCAGGAGATATGACAGGTTTTGAGACAGGTCCAGTGGCCTACTCCATGATGGTGATGGTGGGGAAAAACTCATACCTTGAGGATAGAGAAGGGACTCTGAGGGGATCTTCATGGAGGTTTCCTCTCCAAGACCACCCCTGTAGGAGGGAATGATCTGGGCCTTTGTATGTGGAACGTTTAAATAATATCTCTGAAGTAACTCTACCAAAATGCTAGTTCACTGACTGCCTTAAGATTTATCTCAGAGCTAAAAATACTGCAGTAAATGGGAAAAAAATCAAAATGCAAACAGAACACTTCTCAAATACTTACGGTCTACCACCTGAGGAATAAGTGGAATGAATTTGCTGAATACACTCTTTGTGATTGAAGGACTGGACACAAAACATGAATAATTGCCTCTATCTGATGCTTCTACATTTGCAATGTAGAGATTGCCATTTGTCTGTGACACAAATCGCCGTTTGTCCAAAGTAATGAATACTGGGAACTCATTTAGAAGCCAGCGATAACTGAGATCATCTAGAGGAAAATATTTTCTAGTTAATATTTAGCAAACCCAATAGTAATAGTATCAGCTTCTTGTACTAAATCAAGCCACAGTGTGTTCTGTAGTATCATCTATAGTAATGTAAAAGACAGTGATTTTTTGCAGAGTATGCAATATTTAAGGATTAATAAGGAGGATCTATAAAGCTAATCAGAAAACCTAGAAAACCCACTAGATTATGAACTGATTTATTTCCTTTTAATGAGCAGTTCCTTAGTTTTTAGTTAGGAAGATGGAGTCAGATAAGAAATAAGAACACATATCTCAGAGCAGCAAATTAGAGGAGTGAAAGTAGGGAGGGACAAAATAGTTTGCCAGCTCCTCACAAGGTCAACTTCAATTCTTAAAAACAAAATATTAAAATCAAAATGTTGCACTGTCTGCTAAGAGGACCAAATTAAGATGAATGTCTGTGAGATACCATCTATTTGCTTCTGAAGTTCAAAATACTCCATTTAATGTTATACGAAATATCAGGTGATATAAAACAAATCTAAAGATGGCTTACATGAAAAATCACACAGATAAAAAACAGAGATACTGGGTTAGGCCATGATTTTTAAAGGTATTTAGGCATTGCTCCATTCAATGATGCAATGCCTAACTGATTTAGGAACCTAAATCTCATTTTCAAAAGTATCATAGGTATTCAGGACTAGATCCACAAAGGGGACTAGATCCACTCAGTGTTTGCAGTGCCTAACTTTTAGGTGCGCTGCTTAATGCAATCCCTGAATTAGGTGCCCAGTCCTGCAATACAACACTGTTAGGAGTATTAGTGCCAATGCAGGATCCAGGCCTGTAGTTTCGCCTGAGATAGTACTATGAGTTCTGCTTGCCTGTTTGGTTTTGGATATATATATGTTTTTACTAATATGTGTGAACAAAGGGATTCTTACTAAGAACAAAGACAGACACTGTAAATGTTGCTTTTGCCTAAACCACATGGGTTTGTTAATATAATGGAAATAGATAAGAGCAGTTGAAGTGTTACTGGGCCTGGTGGGAATGTAATATATGAGAGCACACTTGAAAACTGCTTCGACTCCTTATCTGAAGGCAAGGTCAAGCAACTAGTCGGGAAGGGCAAGGGGGGATTCGGGAGGAAGGTAAAACACTAATAGACCAGAGGAATGCCTACCCCTGACTGGAGTACAACCTCACTCCTTACCCTTCCCATGGGATACAAAAGGGGTGGGAATGAAGACCCTAGCCCGCTGACCCCCCAGAATGGAACATGACCATAAGCTATAAGAGGTGGGACTGTGGGCGTGCATTTCAGGTATAATTGTGCCTGCTGAGGAGGGGGGAGTGGAAACACTGGAAAACAGGACTCTGTGGCGTCAGAGTTATGCTGTACATATGCCTTCTGGAAATTAACCCCAATAAACATCGCATTGCTTGCACTGTGGTCTTCTGGTCTGCTTTCCGTCTGTGTGACAAGAACCAGGAGAGATGGTGAAGGAAAGCCCTCGAACAAACACATGGGGAGAGACAGGTACCTAAGAATGGAATTCACAAAAGCCAGCAAGTTGAGCAGGGAGCCACTTAAGATAGCCAGTAGGAAATGCTGAGGAGAGAGGTGGGACTTAAGATTCCTTCTGCTTGGGATTCACGGCCATATACCCTTTTCTAGACTTAAATATTAATTAGTATAGACCTATCCCTTCCCAAGAGAGTGCCTAACCATCAGGCTAGAAACTCTCCCTCTCTCTTAGGCCCAATATATACAAAGTGGCACAGCTTCAACAGTAAAGATTGAAAGAGACCCACTTGAGAATACCCAATCGCTCAGTAGTTAGGGCATTCACAGGGGATATGGGAGAGCGGGTTCAAGTCCCTGCTCCACATGAAGCAGAGTGGGGAGCTGAACCCATGTCTATTGGTTAAAAGGGGGGTGGCACCACCACTGCCACCATCTCCTCCTCTGGCAGATGTGTTTGGTTCAGGCCCTCAATCCAGTAGGTGTGCTTTCAGCATGCCGACCAGATTGGACCCTGTAGGTAAAGGAACGCCTAGTTTGTGAATTATGTTGGGGCTTAGGTGTGAATTAGATGCTGAGTGTCAGGACTGATATGGCTTTGCATATGCCCACCAGAGGAAACTTAGGTGCCTAGGGAGTTTAGGCCCATACTAAGTTAAGTGGCAGCTAAGTAGAGGTTCTGAGGATCTAAATTTGTATTTAGCTGCCTAAAGTGCCTGTGAGGTGGTGCCTAAATCTTTTTGAGGATCTGGTCTTTAGGCGCCTAAGTCTGACTAAAAGTTAATGGGACATAGGCTCCTAAGTGAGTTAGGCACCACAACACCTAAATACCTTTACAAATCTGGGACTTAGCCCATTAGGGGAGTGATCAGAGAACTTTCTCTGAGGCACCATCTCATCAGCTAACTCACTAGGAACTAGCATCAAAATCTGTGAACTAAGCACCTAACATTAGGTACCCGAGTCCATAATTACCTCATAGGACACGGCTATTTCTACCTCCTTGCATATACTCAATGCAGGATAACTTTTGGTAATTTGACATGATCTCCAGCAATCATTTATTGTATAAATAAAGTGTCACTATTTGAAGAAACACAATTGTTTCGATATTTCTTCAACAGATTTAATTAATGCTTTGGATATTAGGAAAATAAGAAACTTTGCATGTTCTCTATGTCCTTCTTGATGATGAATTCTCTATCAGCTAGAGAATATCTATTTTGGGGGGAGTTAGCAGTAATAGCAAGTTTCCCAAAAGGAAGCATAATTTAGCCTTCTAATACCAAATCATTGTCTAACTACTATCTGAAAGAATTAGTTTGCAGAGTTAATTTAAATGTGCTTGCTTTCAAACCTTCAGCTGCAGCTTTTAACGTGGCAAGCTGAGCTCAGAATTGGTAATTACTGTACCAAATTAAAGAGTCTAAACACAATTCAACGTTAAATTCATGTCAAACTTGAATTAAACATTGTTAAATCATAAAATAGAAAGATGGAAATGTTAAGACCAAGAAGAAAATATCCATATATTTCTTCTGTTTGCATTATGTCAATATATAATCTTCTCAGAACAGTAAATGATACCATGCAGTAAAGTTAAAATGTAATGGGCCAAATACTGCTCTTACTGAGGTCACTGGTAAAACTCCTATTGACTTCAACAGTATCAGGATGAAACAAACTATCATGTGAAAATTTTGGTTGCTGACTTTCCTGATACAAGGTGCTATGATGTCCACTGGATGAGATGAATTGTCTTATCTTAGGTAGATATCTGGCCCATCATTGTAGTATCTGAGTGCCTCACCCCTGTGAGGTCGGGAAATGCTATTACAGATGAGGAACTGAAGCACAGGGAGGTTACGTGATTTGCCCAAGGTCACACAGAAAATCTGTGGTGGAGCAAGGAACTGAACCCAGTCCCAGGTTACTGCCATAGGTAATGGACCATCCTTCCTCCCAAATTCATAGAATCATAGAAATGTAGGACTGGAAGGGACCTCGATAGGTCATCTAGTCCAATCCCCTGTACTGAGGCAAGACTAAGTATTATCTAGACCTCCCCTGCCAGGTGTTCACCTAACCTGTTCTTAAAAAAAACTCCAGTGACAGAGATTCCACAACCTCTCTAGGTAAATTACTTGATTTCTTTTTAATAATCTTATTTCTAATTTCAAAAACTGTTTGTAAATTCTAAAAGTAATTTGTACCTTATTGCTGTCACCACATAATTGAAGCCTTAGTTATACACATTACAACATAATTTTCACTCAGCTTCTATTAGTCTTGCTTTATTGTTTATTCCATATCACTATATACACTTTTAATAGTTTACAGACAAATTGACCAGAAAAACCAGCAATGTTTTGTGTGCATTGTGATTTTCTCTATTCTAGTTTGTACATCTGGGAAAATTTCTCCCTCGTCCTATACACTGTTCATCTACAAATATGTTGCCTGAAACTTATCTAGTGGATTTGAGCCTGGGAAAAAAGTTACTGCTGTTTATTTACATCTCATATGAGTCAAGAAAAAGCTCCTTTCTCCATATGTCCATGAAGCAAGCAAGACCATAGGTTTTGGGGGGAAGAGAGAAATATAATCAGAGATTTTATTTAATTTTAACTAACTGAAGTATTAACAGTCTCTAGAAATCTTTGTTCGTTAACTTAAAGGGCTCAGTCCACTCTCCGAAGGATTAAAGAAAAACTATCAGAAGGAATAATTTCTTGCCTTCCTTAATGCATTCTTAATTTAAACTACACGGTGTATACCAGCAGTATCTTTATCCCATTTATTAGATTTAAATGGAAAATATCTTAATCACACATATACATCCTATCCCTTCCAGACTATAGAGATTGAAAATGGTGCAGTTTCAGTTGAATTACCTGGGTAATGGTAAGGAGGCTGGCAAAGAAGCACTGCTCCAATACCCTCCCGTACTTTCACCTCATAGCGTTCCTCGGGTGGAAACGTATCAAGATCTAGATTAAAAAAATAAAGAGACAATATAAGGTTTTTTCAGTGTTTTAGGATTATTTTCTATATTCGGATTTAAACATACAGCTCCTTTAGAGATGAATGTAGAAATACATCAATGTTTGAGACAAAGTGCAGGGCCATACAGCCTGTTTTGTTTGCTTTAATACTAGTATCACCAACTTTAATGGCTCTGCCTGTTCTAACCACTGCAGCTGCAACTGCCCATAAAGAAAAAAGAAATGTTGACTTTGGCTCTGATTCTCAGGTCCAGGTGAGCTGCATTTAGAGCAAGAACCCAAGGATGGGTAGGTGACTTCAGAGAATCTTTCATTTTCCCAAATAAGGGGCTGTCCAGGAGGCCAACTCAACCCCTGTTGTAACTTGGAGCATCCCCATGGCTTCCCTCGAGATGAACCAGGCTGTCCCTGCCTCATGGACTATTCCAACAGCCAAGGACTGCTCAATGGCAGAGTGGTCCAGCTATGTATCCTATGCCAAGGGCTTTGAGATGGGGGCACAAAGCCAGCTGGGGGGATCCTCAGCTGGCTGGCTGAAACAGCTCTATGACCACCTTATGCCAGTGGAACAGTGCAAAGGGTCTTCTGTAGAAGGGCCAAGAATCAGATCCTTTTGAGTTACACATTCTACAGCTGTAGTATTGCAATAATGGTGGCCACGATTATAAGACAGTGATGGTTTGGTTGCATGTCAGTTACTGACAGCAGATTTTATTTATTTATGTTAAGAGAGGTACCTACAAGCTGGGCAATAGCTACCCTTCCCGTGTCACTTTCATTGTCGTATCTCTTATCAAATTAGATTGGGGCAGGGACTGTCTCTTTTACTAAGTGTTTGCATAGCACAAAGTACAATGGGAGTGGGGGAATCCGGAATGGGTCTTCTAAGTGCTGATGTAGTCTAAATAAACAATAATAAAGTATTAAAAGCTGTGCACAAAATCCTTCCCATCAAAAGCCAAAGGAATCATCCAACCTAAATTCAGATTATTTCAACTCTCTTCCCCAGGCTGCTAAAAGTGTCTGGTTCCAGGATCTAACTACAACTTAAGTTCATGAGTAGCAAGGCAGAAACAATAACGACTAATCAGGATAGAGATGCATACGCATTTACACAAAAGGACATCTGTATGGTTTATGAACTACTGTAACTGAGAAGACAGTAGAATAAATACTGTACACATAGCAGAGGGACATCAAAATAATAGGGTAAGAGGAGAAGCAGATCTTTTTAGTGACTGCTTGTAGGACAAACATCATAAAAGAAATCTCTAAAGACCTCTGCTATTAATATATAAACAGGGTATCTCTTCAAATGTCTGAACACCACACTCTCTTGATTCACTTTCTAGCTCACAACTAATTCAACCAATTATTCTTATGTATGGTTGGTTTAGTATTGGTACAAACTAGATTTGCAATGAAATCTGAGCTAGTTAAGAACATAAGAACAGCCATTCTGGGTCAGAACAAAGGTCCATCTAGCCCAGTATCTTGTCTTCCAACAGTGGCCAATGCCAGGTGCCCCAGAGGGAATGAATAGAACAGGTAATCATCAAGTGATCCATCCAGTCGCCCATTCCCAGCTTCTAGCAAACAGAGGCTAGGAACACCATCCCTGCCCATCCTGGCTAATAGCCATTGATGGACCTATCCTCCATGAACTTATCTAGTTCTTTTTTGAACCCTGTTATAGTCTTGGCCTTCATAACATCCTCTGGCAAGGAGTTCCACAGGTTGACTGTGTGTTGTGTGAAAAAATACTTCCTTTTGTTTGCTTGAAACCTGCTGCCTATTAAAGCATATTTATTTGATCAGGAATTGAATCCAAGCCGCGGCAGCAGGAGCACCAAATCCTAACCGCTAGACCACCGGGGAGGACATAAGTTCTTAAATTGGCATGACTTGGAATTCACGTATGTATGTATTCACCTACAGCATGAAACAGATGCCTTTCATTTGTCAAAGTGGACTACTCTTATCAAGCAGCTGTCCATGATATTTGCTTCCGACTTCACAACATGTTTTTCCTGGCTCTAAAATTTCACAATTTCTTGTGAGGTTGCCACTGTTTTTCATTCCCTCTTTCATCTTGGCATACTGCAGTTGTAAATCTAGTATAGTGATTGTAAAAACTACGAGTGCTATCCATGAGTGGAAAATATAAAACAAAGTGATTACTATTTTGAATATGGCCAAAGTATGGTTTGAGGAAAGAAAAAAAATCTAGTTGTCATTTTTTAAATACTTACTTTAATAATTTCCAGTTAAAATATGTAAATGCCTAACTTTATATCTAGACTTTTTATTTATGGTGTGTTTTGGATAAATTCGTGAACTTTAGGAATAATCACCACAAATTCAAAGGCATAGAAAAGAACAGGCAATTTAAATGTAAAAATAAATAAATGAGGTTTTTAGTGAAATAGAACGGTCTGTGCCAGAGTGAACAGAGATGTCTGTACAATTACTGATCTATAACTGCACAGTTTCTTCCCACTTATGAAATGCCCTGAATGCTGATTGGCTCTGAGTGTCTGAATGCTGATTGGCTCTGAGTGTCTGATTTGCATAATGACTATCATTATTACTCAGTAATTATAAAGAATGTGAATCCTTGAACTGTAATTGGAAGATATCCATTATTAACCAGAGTGCAAGAATTTGTATAATCACTTTACAGTTATAACTGTACATTGATTATGCAAATGTCTTTGCTTGCTCTGTTTGGCTACTACAGTCCCTCTGCTATGATTTGGCTCCTGTTATTACAATTTTCAATCCATTTTCCACCAAAAAGGAGGTGGTTCAGCTTCTGACTCCCATCAGCATAAGTCAAAAAAGCACCAACATTTTACGTGAAAGAAGAAAATTCCCCAAAGCAAAGGAAGTTGTTGTGGGTGTGCGTGCGCACGTGCAAGTATGTGCGTGCATGTGTGTGGTAACAGCTGAAAGGGAAAATCTTTTTTAAAACTACTTTAAAACCTTTGATTCATTTCTCTCCTGGAGACCCAATTCAGCCCCATTGAGATCAATGATATTTTTGCCAATGTTTGCACGATTGGACTTTTCAGTTTAACCCCCCCCCCCTTCCTAAGAAGCCAGCTTGGATTTTGTCCCAATGACAATTTTTATTTAATTGAATTTAAGATGGCTGTCTTCACTATGAAAATCTCTTCCCTTTTCTCCCAAGTACTAATATTAAACATTTTTTGAATTTCACCAATTTTTTTTTCAGTTTTATAGAACAGGCAAGTCAATGAAAAAAACTAAAAAGTTTTTCACAATTATTTTTAGCATTTTTGAACGAGCTCTATGCCAAATATGGTTCTGAAACAGAAGTATTTCACAGTTATTGTGGTGGTGGGGAGGGAGAAGAGTTTTGCTGACCTATAGAGAGACAGGGGAAGGGGAAATAATAGAACAAAGGAAACAAGAGACCACAAAGTTTTAATGCTTTTTTAAAAAACAGATTTTCAGCAGTTTCCTGGCATATTTTGGTTTCTGTTGTTTTTTGATTCATCCCTGTCATTAGCATTTGAATATTTGCTTACAAAGCTCAGCGTAACAATGCTGTTAACCTGATATAACCTAGGGATGTAAATATCATTTAAAAAGTTAATCGTTTAAATGATTAAAATCATATCGTTTAACCGGTTAAAGGGAGCGGTACTGGGGCTGCTCTGGCCAGCTCGGGGCTGGGGCTTACACCTCTTTAAAGTGCCCCACTCCAAGTCTTCAGCCACAGGCATCTGCAGTGTGAACTACTGGAATGCATGCCACTCCTTGGATATTAGTGGGAAAGTGTGCCTACTGGCTAAATTCACCTTCACTACAGAGAAACTCTAATCCAGCCTTGCGTTTCTGGTAGAAAACGCACTGTGGAATATTTCTATTTAAAATACAGACCACACGTGCATCCAGACTTATGTGAAAATCCATGAGTCTGGCTTCACTTTTAAATCTTTGGTCCCATAATATTAAATTTACTTTCACAAAACATTACAACATGGGGTTTACATTAAACCTCTTAAACCGGTGATATTATTCACTAAAAGTGAAATACTGCCCTGTGCAGAGAGCTATCACAAGGCCTATGGAGCACTTGTCTTGCCTAAGCCCTTAATATGGGGATTAAGCAGACCATAGGGCCTTATACAGGATCTCTGCATGAGGGCAGATTTCACCCTGTGTTTTTAATGTACAAAATATTTCCAGGATAACATCATTTTAAGGGGGAAATTAAAACAAAACAACAACAACAAAAACCCTTCTTTCTCCAGATGATAAAATCTAGCTATTTATGTTACCTAGGTACATTTTTTTTAGGGTGATCAGATGTTCCGATTTTATAAGGATAGTCCCAATATCTGGGGATTTGTCTTATATAGGCGCCTATTCCTCCCACCCCATTCCAGGTTTTCACACGTGCTATCTGGTCACCCTAATCTTTCTCAACAAAGTATCTGTTGTTGACAGTGTGTTTGTGGAAAATACTGGCTCCATTGTCTGAAGTTGACAGAAAAGCCCTCAGCAGGGCCTTAAATGTGGCATAAGGATTGCAGCATTCTTTTCACTATAAAATGACACATCATCCATCTTCAAGAACTTCCAATCTGTTTTGACAAGGATGACAGCTGACCTTCATCATGTGAACCTATCTGTATCTCTCTTCTGACAACTTCCCCATGGGTTCTATTGTGTCTTAAAAAAATTAGGACACTATATGCCTCAAGATTGTGGGAATTCCCCCTCTCTGGCTAAACAAGCTGTGTGACCCTCTTTGCAGATATAAACTTAAGGCCTTTGAGATGGTTGTAATGCCAACAGCAGGATGAAGAGTATAAGCTGCTTTAAAAACTTACTTCTTGCTGGTCTGTCGATGAAGGCACGTTATATAATTTTCACAGAGCAATACAATGATACAATGCAATGACTAAAATGCTGCAACAATAATACAGTGAAACATTGACCATTTAAACCTAATCAGTATGTGCTTATCTGTTTTAAAGTTAACAATTGCTTACATCCAAAACTTAGAGTAGCTTCAGCGCTTCGGACAGTTCCAAAGATATTCGATGCTATGCAAACATATTTCCCAGCATCCTTTGATTTCTCTGGGTTATTGATAAGAAGTCTACCTCCCACGATACTGTAGCGATCCTTTGTTAAATCAATATCCCAGTCATTTAGTTTCCACCTATTAAAAAAAGAAAAGGTGATGTGATGGTTGCAAAAAATCTACTCAAAAAATTATTTGCAAGAAAACTCTTCATATATGGGTTCACAACTTGCTATTAATTGTAAATAACTATGATATTATATTCATGTATTACAATAAATGGTTTTATTTTAATTTTCCTCAGACAAGGCTCTCAAATTTGACCTGCCTTAATGGCATATAAACGTGATGTATGGCAGTGTAGTTGTAGCCATGACAGTCCCAGGATATTAGAGAGACAAGGTGGGTGAGGTAATATCTTTTAACAGAAGTTGGTCCAATAAAAAAAATATTACCTCACCCAAATTATCTCTCTATAAACATGATGGTCAGTCCAATTCGCAAGGTGAGAACAACAACCATCCGTGAGACTGAAAGAGCTATACGAGGGTGGGGCTGGGGGAGGGGGTCAAGTAGCTAAAGAAAACACCCACTGTGCACCCATGGAATATGCAACAACAGAGTTACTACCTAATCTCTACCAGATCCTCCCCCATACACTTGGGGATGTGTAGGCCAAGGAAGTCACTCCAGGCATAAAGTAATGGTAATGCCAGTGAAAAGAAAGTCAGACTTGTTCTAACACTGCCATTTTTTTAAACAACAAAATTGCTGGGGACTTCTACCCTGACTGCTAGAAGAATGACTGGGGCACTCTGCATGGGAGACTGGGTGGGTAAATGGATGGGTCGGCTCCCGCATTTGAGGCACTGCTGTTTTATTTCATAAAATACATCCCCAACAAGGCAGGAACTCAGTGAGCCAAATTCATCCCTAGTGTAACTCTACTCATTTCAATGGAGTTACTCCAGAAATGAATATGACCCAATACTTTTGAACTGCCCACACAATTCCATGGGAATGTATAGGTATTATTGTGTCCACTAGAGGGAGCCCATAATCTTGCTTGAAGGCAACAGAAATGTATTGAGAATATATAAAGCCTACAAAGTTCAAAGTATGCACACAATTTCATATCAAGATCTACAGGCAAACAATACTTTTTGAAAATCAGATTACTCTCTGTTTGCTTCTTCAACAAAAAGAACTACCGAAAGGTTGTGTTAAATGCAGTTACTGTCGGGAAGTTAAAGTTAATTAAAAATTGAAATTTGAAAAAGAGAGAAAAATCATGTGAAGTGATTTTAATAAAAATACATCCCTAACAAGATCAAAACTCAATAACTTTCAAACAGGAAGCTTTTGCATAGCATCAGCAGTAATAAACAATAATAATAATAGTAATAAAATCTTTAATTATATTCCTGGGAATTAAAAGTTATTTCATTCCCATTAAGAAAATCACATGTAGACATTATTAATAAATTATAAAATATATGAAGAAATATACAAGGGTAGCTATCACATACATAGTTTAAAATATGACAAAACAGACCAGAACATTCTGCACAAACTGGAATCTGTGGTGAATCAGAAGAAAAGCTCATAGTAAACATGTTCTTCTGAACTTGTTAGTTTGAGGTCAGTACACAGTCATGTTTCCTTGATCCAGCTTGAATTTTTCTTTTTGTATGAACACAATATCATTTATATTCCTTCGTAAAACAAGGTTACTCTATAATTAAATGTCATAAAAATAGACCTTAATAGACTCATTCAAAATGTGCACAAACCATAACTGAGTAACCATGGGATCTTATTACTGTAAACACTGTCTCTCCTCATGCAGTTCCTCTAGCTGACCCCAATACTGCAAATACTTATGAGTAACTTCATGCACAAGAAAAAGTCCTATTTAGCTCAGTGGGACTTCTCATATGCTAAAAGTTTCTAAGGAGTGCAGGTCTTTTCATGGTAAGAACTATTATTACACTCATTGTGTCACAGCTAAAACAAATTGTAAGCTCTTCAGGACATGGGACACTTTTGTATTTGTTCTGTAAAGTGCTCAACATACTTTTGGGTGTCATATTAACAAAAATGTGGGTCCGTGGGGCCTATATAAGAAGCTGGTGGCTCAGTCAGGGCCAATCCAGATGGAGGGAGGTAGGAAGGCTAGAGACCAAAAGAGAGCAGGGGAGGGAGAGCTTAGAGAAGAGCTCTCTGCCAAGAAAGCTAGCAAAGCTCTGAACCCAGAAAGGGGGGCTATGGAAAAAGCCTGTATGGAGGCAGGATATGGTAGGACTCTGGATGCTGTGTATTTGAGAAACTGGAGAAGGCAATATAGGAAGTGGTCCCGAGAGAAGCAGGTCAGTTGGAATCTTATGGCGGACAACCTATGGCTTACACCCCTATTGTCAGAGGTCTGAAGTAGAGGGATGGCACTTGTCACCTTTGTGGTGCCACCTTTCAAGATGACAAGGCAACTCCCTGAAACAAAGCTTAGAAGCCCAAGAAGGACATAAGGATATTTGAGCCCTATAGAAGGATGAAGAATTGCGACACTTGGAGACAGGTAATGTGGACAAACTCCTGCATAAATAGGGAAGAGACCAGCATGCATCTGGTGAGAATATCAGGAGACCTAAAAATTGAGCTCAGGGAAGTACTGAAGATTTTGTGTTGGACTACTGTTTATCTCCAAAACGGAGTGGTTGAAGGCATCACAGTGACCAAAAAGCCAATGGAAGACTGTTGGAGAGACAGGAAAATGAAGACATTGTTCTGAGGTAACTATACCAGCAGGTAAGAACATAAGAATGGCCATACTGGGTCAGACCAAAGGTCCATCCAGCCCAGTATCCTGTCTACCGACAGTGGCCAATGCCAGGTGTCCCAGAGGGAGTGAACCTAACAGGTAATAATCAAGTGATGTCTCTCCTACCATCCATCTCCACCCTCTGACAAACAGAGGCTAGGGACACCATTCCTTACCCATCCTGACTAATAGCCATTAATGGACTTAACCTCCATGAATTTATCTAGTTCTCTTTTAAACCCTGTTATAGTCCTAGCCTTCACAACCTCCTCAGGCAAGGAGTTCCACAGGTTGACGGTGCGTTGTGTGAAGAAGAACTTCCTTTTATTTGTTTTAAACCTGCTGCCCATTAATTTCATTTGGTGGCCCCAAGTTCTTATATTATGGGAACAAGTAAATAACTTTTCCTTATTCACTTTCTCCACACCACTCATGATTTTATATACCTCTATCATATCCCTCCCTGTCTCCTCTTTTCCAAGCTGAAAAGTCCTAGCCTCTTTAATATCTCCTCATATGGGACCCATTCCAAACCCCTAATCATTTTAGTTGCCCTTCTCTGAACCTTTTCTAATGCCAGTATATCTTTTTTGAGACGGGGAGACCACATCTGCACGCAGTATTCAAGATATGGGCGTACCATGGATGTATATAACGGCAATAAGATATTCTCTGTCTTATTCTCTATCCCTTTTTGAATGATTCCTAAGATCCTGTTTGCTTTTCTGACTGCCGCTGCATACTGCGTGGACATCTTCAGAGAACTATCCACGATGACTCCAAGATCTCTTTCCTGATTAGTTGTAGCTAAATTAGCCTCCCATCATATTGTATGTACAGTTGGGGTTATTTTTCCCAATGTGCATTACTTTACATTTATTCACATTACATTTCATTTGCCATTTTGTTGCCCAATCACTTAGTTTTGTGAGATCTTTTTGAAGTTCTTCACAGTCTGCTTTGGTCTTAACTATCTTGAGCAGTTTAGTATCATCTGCAAACTTTGCCACCTCACTGTTTACCCCTTTCTCCAGATCATTTATGAATAAGTTGAATAGGACTGGTCCTAGGACTGACCCTTGGGGAACACCACTAGTTACCCCTCTCCATTCTGAAAATTTACCATTTATTCCTACCCTTTGTTCCCTGTCTTTTAACTAGTTCTCAATCCATGAAAGGATCTTCCCTCTTATCCCATGACAACTTAATTTACATAAGAGCCTTTGGTGAGGGTCCTTGTCAAAGGCTTTCTGGAAATCTAAGTAGACTATGTCCACTGGATCCCCCTTGTCCACATGTTTGTTGACCTCTTCAAAGAACTCTAATAGATTAGTAAGACATTATTTCCCTTTACAGAAACCATGTTGACTTTTGCCCAACAATTTATGTTCTTCTGTGTGTCCGACAATTTTATTCTTCACCATTGTTTCAACTAATTTGCCTGGTACTGAAGTTAGATTTACCGGTCTGTAATTGCCAGGATCACCTAGAGCCCTTTTAAAATATTGGTGTTACATTAGCTATCTTCCAGTCATTGGGTACAGAAGCTGATTTAAAGGACAGGTTACAAACCATAGTTAATAGTTCCACAATTTCACATTTGAGTTCTTTCAGAACTCTTGGGTGAATGCCATCTGGTCCCGGTGACTTGTTACTGTTAAGTTTATCAATTAATTCCAAAACCTCCTCTAGTGACATTTCAATCTGTGAAAATTCATGCTGTTGAATTATGCTAACTGCAAATAAGTAAAAAAATTACAGCAAGAAATACTCAGATCTGTTATTGAATGGAAAATAAGGCTGTTAAGCGATTAAAAAAAATAATCGCAATTAATCGCGCGATTAAAAAAAATTAATCGTGATTAATCACGCTGTTAAACAATAATAGATTACTATTTATTTAAATATTTTTGGATGATTTCTACATTTTCAAATATATTGATTTCAATTACAACACAGAATACAAAGTGTACTCTGCTCACTTTATATTTATTTTTTATTACAAATATTTGCACTGTAAAAAACAAAAGAAATAGCATTTTTCAATTCACCTAATACAAATACTATGATGCAATCTCTTTATCATGAAAGTTGAACGTACAAATGTAGAATTATGTACAAAAAATAACTGCATTCAAAAATAAAACAATGTAAAACTTTAAGGCCTACAAGTCCACTCAGTCCTACTTCTGGTTCAGGCAATCACTCAGACAAACAAGTTTTTTTTACATTTGCAGGAAATAATGCTGCCCGTTTCTTATTTACAGTGTCACCTGAAAGTGAGAATTACAACACAGGCGTTTGTATGGCATTGTTGTAGCCGGCATCGCAAGACATTTACGTGCCAGATGCACTAAAGATTCATATGTCCCTTCATGCTTCAACCACCATTCCAAAGGATATGCGTCCATGCTGATGACGGATTCTGCTCAATAACAATCCAAAGCAGTGCAGACCGATGCATGTTCATTTTCATCATCTGAGTCAGATCCCACCAACAGAAGGTTGATTTTCTTTTTTGGCGGTTCAAGTTCTGTAGTTTCTGCATCAGAGTGTTGCTCTTTTAAGACTTCTGAAAGCATGCTCCACACCTCATCCTTCTCAGATTTTAGAAGGCACTTCAGATTCTTAAATCTTAGGTAGAGCGCAGTATCTATCTTTAGAAATCTGATATTGGAACCTTCTTTGTGTTTTGTCAAATCTGCAGTGAAAGTGTTCTTAAATCAAACAGCATATGCCTGGTCATCATCCGAGACTACCATAATACAAAATATATGGCAGAATGCGGGTAAAACCATGGAGCAAGAAACATACAATTCTCCTCCAAGGAGCTCAATCATGAATTTAATTAATGCATTTTCTTTAATGAGAATCATCAGCATGGAAACATGTCCTCTGGAATGGTGGTCAACAGGAAACTTGGAAATGGCTGAGATGCTTAATGACTTCTTTGTTTCGGTCTTCACCGAGAAGTCTGA